TTCAATGAAGAGGCTGACCGACACAGAAGACATTAGAATTATTAACCCCCATGATTTGGATACTACTGAACTTCTTTTCGAAGACCCTTTTCACAAGCACTACCACCAAATCAGATTTTTCCATCCTGTGGCCATGCACTTTACTTCTGTTTCCTAAATAAAGAATGCTGCATATCTTCTCCTTGGTTTGGTGAGCAATAGCCGCCATCAGCAATAGTACTCTTTCATTCATTGCCATGTTTATTTTAATCCGGATGCTCTCCACAGCATTGCCAAATTAATTCACTTTGGTTTCTGAGCAAGAATGGACACTTTGAAAGTGCAGGGCAGTTCCTCTCCTCCTCCTCCTCCTCTTTATTGCTTCAATGTATTGCTTGTATCCTTTGGTTGCTATGTTCCATCCACGCCAATCATCCCACCAGGTCTCTGCCTGTTAAATCATATATCCCTTCCTCCATGAATGTTTCAAGCTTGTCTTGTTGATTTTCCCTACTCTGAGCATTACTGTCCCAACAGGAAAGGCCATGAAACGTATGAACCAATGTTCTTTCATTTGATTTTTCACTGAGTGGTTTAACAGGTCCCATTACAGCTCCCTCTCTACTTCCTTCTATACAATGTAAGATTTTATTGCCACCCGCTCCTCCACCCCAAAGAATTTGGTTGAAAGCCTCCTAATCATGTTTGCCATGTTTTGCCAAACCCATTTTCCTTGTCTTTGTGAAGTACAACCCATCTCAGGCTAGTTGTCCATCAACGAAATCACTCAGGCCACCATGACGGAAACCCACTCTCTCCCCTTGATCCCATCTGCACAGCTAGTCATTCACGTGTGGCTCTTTCCATTTTGGCCAGGTGTAAAGGATAAGTGGAAGAAACACTAAGGAGGAGGACCAGAACTATTCCTCAGAAGTAAGGACTCTGACTACTTCCCCAAAGGGTGATTCTGATCATTCAGGAGAGGGAACAGGTAGAGGTAGTTATGCCCTGACAGCCAGAGAACTTCCCCCATCTTCTGCTCCCCTCTTGATGCAGAGGCTGGGGGAGCTGCCTCAGGTCTGAATAGCTTGAGAACAGTAGAAAAATTCACAGAAAGGAGATAAGGGTGTAATAATCAAGAACAACTTCATTTACCATCCCTACATGGTAGAAACATCTTCACATACTTGAGTCCTCCAAATATCTTCCTCCAACATACACAGAAAGAGAAACTTCACAAATCTGATGTTTTTCAGGTTTCAAAAAAGTATGAAAATTAGGGATTGTTTTAAAGGAAAGGTCAGTCTCAAGTGTCTTTAATTGTCCTCTCTAGTCTCCAGGATCTTGCTATCCATTCTAACTCTAGAGAACAATGAGAGACAAAGGCATTGATTCCCAGTAGGTGGATACTGCCTAAATTGGCTTCCCTTGCCAACAAACCCCATGAATTGCTCTGTGTAAGGTCCTACCTTTGCTCTGTTGCTCTGATGGCTTCAGGCCTTCTTCAGCTGCTCTATTCTGGCTGAATAGATGTCTTCCTGCATTTGCAGCTTCTCATAGATCTCAGACTACGAAGAAATAGGTTTTAGCAACTCTGTAGGCTTCTGTCTCTTGCATTCCATCAAAAACATACTGCAGACTGTATCGTTTTAGCCGACTTTTGCTAGCCCATCAGCAACTCTCCCTCTTAGCTTTGAAAAAGGGCAAGGCTTGAAATACCCGCAGCTCCGGTGGGGGAGGCCAAGCACTCCGTAGCCCTCTTCTTCTGCTGCCATCCCGTCTCCCTTTGCCCCAGGCCCAGAGCAGGGCTCAGGACAGCAAATGCCTCTTGGCTTCCTGAGGTTTGAACAACCCAACCTGGGCTTGCAGAACACGGGTCGTCTTCCTGGGCAGACGGCCTGGCCTTCCCCAAATGGAGACCGTGCAGATGTGCTGGACTAAAACTCCTGTCTTCCTTTCCCAGCACACAATCACAGGAGTCTTGCTCCAACAGATCTGGAGTCACCAAGCTGTGTGAGGCTGTTCTTATTCAATATACCACATGCTTACCACGAACAGTAATTCTTATGGTGCCAAACTTCTCCCCCACGTTACATCAATTTCTCAGATTAATCTAACTAAGAAATACTGATCTGTGACCGTGGGTCAAACCTTCTGGAAGATGTGTGCGGACCCTCCTCGAGGGGTTCCAGACAGAGAGTGTCCAGCACTGCAGTTACAGAAGCGCACACGGGTTGCAGTGGAAAGGAAATCGGTGAGAGAAGTGGTAGAAATGCAGGGCAGGGCTGCAAACGGGAGCCTCTGGAATTCCCTGGGGAAAGACGGTGCAGGAGGAGGAGGTGAGAGGCAAAGGGCCTGGGAAGCCTCGGAAGCCAGAAGAAAGTTCTTGGCTAATCGGGGCTTTCAGAACGAAATTAGAAGCCTTTCGCTTGTAATAACTGGATGAACGGGAACGCGGCTCAGAGTGCTCTGCACACCCGTGTGCGCGGCGGAGTTGCTCCCTTACCCAAGAGGTGGCATGAAAGAGAAAAGGCCACCGTGAGGACAGGCCTCTTCTACGCTCCAGCTTCGGAAAGCTACCTTATTGGCAGGAACCGGCTATTCCACTTTCCGGGCGATACCGATCCACACTGTGTTGCCGTGGCTTCTCTCCAACCCCCAGCCCTTGCCCGGGAAGGGACTCTTTGCAGAGAGAGTCAGACAGAGTCCCCCGGCGCCAGAACCTCCATAGGAGCTGGGCTACAGTTCCCAGAACTGCGAGCCAGGAGGGGGCTTCAGGAAGCCCCAGGGCAGCCCAGGCAGAGGGGGCTGCCGGGGTGGGGAGAAGGTTCCCACTGGCCTCGGACAGGTGGCTCTCCAGCACCCCGCTGTCAAACTATACAGAGACTTGGCTGCACTCTGGAATCCCTCCTTCTCTGGAGGGTGTTACGCAGCTCCCTAACTCAAAAAAGTGTATGGAAGAAAACTGCAAAAAGTGTGTCCATTAAGCAGAATTATGAACAAAATGTTTCCTTTTGGAGGAATGTGCACAAACCCACAAATTGTACTGTAAGCTTAAAAGATATTCTTGAACTACTGTGGGAATAGGTTAAAGGGAATTTACAAATGGAAACTATGAGAAACTGGAATGAAGGCATTTGCCCGTCTGCAGTGACAGGTTGGAGAAGACAGTTATAACAGCCGACCCTTACGCAGAATGTAAACTTTCCCAGGATTGTCTAATGCCCCCATTTAACCACTCTTAATATTTCAGTTCTCCCAAGTGGGAAAGGCTTTCAGCACTAAGTTTTTCTTGCTTAATTTTTCTTTTCACTTTTTATTATTAAACAGCACAATTTGCAATAAAAAAGTAAAAGGGAATTAAACGAGGCATTCCTTCCTTGCCGGAAGTGGTACTTTCACGGGGCTGTTAACAGGTCATTTCACACAGATTTCCAGATACAATCAACAAGATGTATCAAAACAGCCAAAATCTGCAAAGATGAAACATTAAATGAATGGGCGAGATCTTTGCTGCAGAGCACTCACTTATTTGGGGGGAGTCTCTAGGAAAGGACCCTCAGAGGCTGCTGCTGCTGCTGCTGCTGCTGCTGCAGAGGGAAGGCAGGAGAGGCCCCCCGTTTCATCCCACTTGTTGCGCGCTCCCACCGGGCCACACGGGACACAGTTGCTCGGATCCAGGAGCACAGACCAAGGAACTGTCAGCAAAAGCCGGAGTGCATCTGTGCACATTTTCACAGGCCTTTCTCAGTGTGACCGGGGGTAGTGAAACTCAAGTTTGGGAATAGCATCACACCAGGTTTGCAGGGGCAAACAATGCTCAACTTATCCAAGCAAATGTATCCCTGGTGCAGCACAGCATGCAGACAACATGCATTCTCTAATTCCCTAATATAACAGGCTGACAATAATCTAGGATTTCAGTTAGTCAAGCTGCTTCTCGCAACAATACCTGGATACTGCTGATTATTTCGTTGGTGACTTGGCCCAGCACCAAGCGAACCTCCTCGACTGTGTAGCCCATCAAAGGGTCAGCAGCGCCTTGGATTTCAGTTGGCTCTTCTGGAAGAACAGCACCTTCCTGCTCCTGAAAGAGGCCAGGCAAGTTCTCACCAAGCGGATCTGTCTAATCACAACAGCAAACTCCCTGGGTAGGGCAGCCGGAGTCCACCTGGAGCCACCCGTGGCCCCTCGGCCACAGAAAGGGGGCCTACAGAGTGCGGGAAGACCCTCAAATCTCCCCACCAGCCTTCTCAGCAGGACGGCAGGAAATGCATTACAGGCTTCCTGCTGCCATTCATGGCAGGAAACCCACCCAAATTCCCTGCCAGCAAGTTAGTCCAGCCTTTGGCAGGGACCAGGAAAGATGAGGGCCGTGTGTGTGACTACGAGTGAAGGGACGCATGGAGGCCAATGTTGCTGTGTCCTCTCAGCCAGGAAGCGGTGCATCTCTTGGGGCTGACAAGATGCCCAGGCCTGCTGTAAGGTCCTTCTTTTCCGCTACCCAAAGGCCTCCAAGCTTCATGTGAGAAGGAGCAGAGAGGGCAGCGTCTCGGCTGAGAGCAGCCAAAACCGTCCCTGGGAACTCCAGCTGAGGATCGAAAGGGCTTCGGCCTGATCCTTCCAGGAAGGGACAGCCAGAGCCACGTGGTGTCTCGCTTTCTGGCCCCAGATGTGTTCATTTACCTTGGTCAAATCCTCTTCCTCTGGAGTTAATGCTACGAACGTGGAATAGATATCACAAGGTAATCCTTCTTCCAAGGGGGCGGGAAAAGGGGTGTTGGCGGGCTTGACCAGTTCTACAACATTCTGTGGGGAAGAAATAAAACAAGCAAGAGAGCTCACATAACAGCGATGCTGTTAATGGTCGTAAGTGGCTGATGGCTTTTTCGAGACAGGAAGTCAAAGGCTCAGGATGCCAGCAGGCTGTGCTTTTTATTTTGCTATTTTCCAAAGTGCTCTGAACAGGAAGTCTTCCTGACCTCCTTCTCAGATCTGCGCTTGGGGTCTAGTAATATCTCCTGTTCAGGAGCCCAACGGAAAGGTGGGAAAGTACTCCGCTCTCTGCAGACCCGAGCTGGGGCTCTCTTTCCCGGAACAGTCCAGATCCGCTTCCCCACAACCGCCCCACATAAACCAGTGGCCAGGAGTTTGTGCCCCCAACCACTGAACAGGCTCGCCACCATCTGGCCACTGGGGGAGGCTGATGTTCAGCCACATCTGGAGGCTGTAAGTCCCCTACCCTGAAATTACGCTTATTCGTGTTAATTCATAACACACGTTTTGCTTTGTTTTTTAATTTCCTGGCTCACAAAATGAAGATGGTACCCAGGTCGTCTAGTCCATCCCCAGGGTCTGCCTGCCACCCTCCTGCCAAAGAAGGAAGCAGGAAGGTCCCCAGCGACCAGCACGGGACCGTTTCCGCGCAGAGACAGGAGAAGAGCCCCTGGACGGAGGGAGGGCTCCGGCCGGATAAAGGGCTTCCACTGTTTCTTATTTTCTGTCGTCAGCACACCAATCCCAGGGTTAGGGTTGGGGCCGATGTGGATTTCTGGCGGAGCATCACAACCACCCTGGGCGTTTTAAAAACTGTTGGGTGCTTTGAGGAGACCTTTCTGCCACAGCGGGAGGTCTTTTTGTAGCCGACGGGAGAGGGAAACGGAGGGCCCGTCGCTCTCTGGACTGTGGCTTGAGCAACGCTGCTCTGAATGATCACGCTGCCGACATCCAGGAATCGGGGTGGCTGGAACAGGGCTGCAGAAGGGCAGAGCCCTCATTGAAGGCCACACGCGTGTGCGAAGGCTGCCCTCAAGGTCCTCAGAAAGGGGTAGTGGGAGATGTCAGAGAAATCCATTGCATTTCTTTCCCAGCGAAATGGGCGATCTGGCAAAACGCAATCTGTGGGGCCATAAATAAGCACAGAGTGCTCAATTCAACAGTGTCTGTCTCAAAACAGGAAAACAATGACAATGTTTAAAAGTTGCAGTCCAGCACAGTCCCTGGGTGGAAGAGCAAGTGATTAGACATAGATGATGCTGAGAGGCAGGACCCAGGTGAGCCATAAATCCCCCAGGAGGCTTCATCCTCCTTTAAATGCAAGAGGTCCCACCCTGCGTTTTCCCCTTTGCCAGGGTCTCTCAAGCACTGCCCCCAAAGTTTTGCTTGTTCCAGCTACTTCTCAGCTCTTAGCAGCTGAACTCAGTTGCCGCACAGAAAGTCCAACGATTCGGTCCCAAGCCCTGCTTGCGTGTGTCCTCCATGGGTATCTTTTCACTGCTGAGCAGGCTTCCATGATCCTGCGCTCAGAACTGTTTTTGCACCAGCCTCCTCGTCCAAACAACTATGTAATCACAGAATGCGCACGTTCTGTTAGTCTCCGCAGCACTACCCTGTAGCCAGGCTTTAAATGCGCTTGGAGCTGCAGCTCAGAATTAAAAGGAAGCCCTTTGTTGGCAGGAGGGATTTATGAATAAAAGTATGCTTTGAGGACAGAAGGTTGTGATCCAGCAAGGCTTATTTCTTTTTATATTTTGCATTCCTAACAAGTCCAAGAGAAAATCAGCATGAATGAATTGTGAAGAGAGCCTCGAGCCAAATGTATTTAAATGAATCTTTCTGATGCAATACTTTCCTTTAAACAGTACAATTAAGGCGTTGTATTTCCTTTAAACAAAACCTCATGTGTACCGCTACCATTGATTATGTAGTGAAAACTATTTAAAACCAAGGAGACAAGGTCAGCATTGCAATCCTGCTTTTATTTTAAAGTTACTTTTTTCCCCCCCGAAGACAAATTTATAGTTTTGTTCCGCACGGGAGGGGCTTTGAGGGAGGCAAGCGCACACATAACATTCTAAAAAAAAAAATCCATCTTGCTATTTTATTTAGTGGCCAGGGCAGAGGCCCCCGCCCACCACATTTTCTGAATGCTTTCCCCCTCCGCCCCCTTTGCCACTTCTCACCCATAACTCTTCAAGCAGGAGGGAACCGATGCTTGGTCAGAGGACTCTGCAAATCTCTCTCTCCCCCAGCCCGACCTCCGCGTTTCAGCAGCAGCAAGGCAGGCGCCTCCAGCCTGGCTCCAGAACGCCCTTCCGGCCAGTCCCGCTGCAGACACTGCATGCCTGGAGCACCTTCTGGCCACCTTCCATCTCGGGTGCAGCCCCCTTCGCCCCTCCTTTTTAGGGGCCCTCCGTGCAGTATCTGTATATAGCATTTTTGTATGGCACGTGCACTCTGTTTTCTCCCCAACGACAGCCTTGGGCAGTGGGCCCAAAGTCACCCTGGCACTCCGAAATGTGGCTTCTGCCACGTTTCAGACAAGTCAGCCCTCAGCCGGGGGGATAACAGGAGCACAGAGTGACCTCACCTGACTCACTCCAGGAAGAGGCTAGTGGCGGAGGGAGGCCGGGGCGGTGGCCTTCCTTGGCCCCGGAGGGAAGACTTCTGGTTGTGGGAAATGGGCTGGGGGAGCTTGCTATGCTTCCCGTATCTGGTGCGCCTGAAGCATTTTGCCTCAGATGTTAGCCATGTGTTTACAATGTATGTCTCCTGCTGCCCTTGATGAGTTGCTGCTGAGCTCCCTTCCAGGTGGAAAGATGAACTCGAACTCGCAGGATGCCAGGGGTGATCTTCTGGGGCTGCCCAAAGAGCAGCTGAGATCCAGCATCCCCGGAAGACTCAGCTCGGGGAATCTGACGCACCCCCTCTTGCCTTCTCGGTTTGAGCACATTTGAGCCAGTGGCTGCCCTGAATTCCACCCTCTACGCATCCGGGACAAGGAGCCTTCGCAGGCGGGAGCATGCTTCCCACCTCTTGGCATTCCTTCCGGGGTGGAAGCACACCACAGAGTCCCTGGAGAATCAGGGGGCTTCTTGGCGCCTCTTCTTCGCCCTCGGGAGCTACCTATGGGCCTCTGCTGTCTACTGGGGGGCCAGGCCCTGCCTCGCCTTCCACAATGCCTGCAGCAGACCAGAGAGGGGAGCTGCAATCAGCCTGCAGGGTGAAGAGGGTAACTTTGCTGGGGCGGGGCGGGGGGCGGGGGGCTGTCCTCAGTCAGGGCCTGCTGTCGACGAAGGAAAGACA